CAAAAAAGATAAACAGAACAGTGAGCAGGCCTGAACATTCCTAGTTTCTTTTTAATTTTAACTGCTCCTAACTCTGCATGTCTGCAACTAAGTTTGCTTTTCAGCCCCCTAATTCTACAGGAATTACATTTCGTACCTATTATCCTTTGCTACCCTTATAACACTCTTTTCCCCATGTAGTTACATATGAGAAGGAAGGCCACAGAGCCACAGAGCTGCCAGACTCAATTACTGGGTTACTGCTGCCAGCCTATGACTATTTTTGGCAAGATCCTAACACCTTAGTTTCTCATCATTGACTCCTGACTGCAATCCCTCATCTTATATAAGCCCCTAGACTCCTCATATAGTGGGGAGCATAGTCTTGAGGCATGAGCCTACTGTGTTCCACTCGCCACCAGCTGAGAATTAAAGTCAACTTTCTATTACCTTCAAACTCTGTCTCCACATTTTTTATTCAGCTTTGGTGGGCAGAGAAAGCCCAGATTTGGGCTGACAACAATGTTGGAGAGAAATATATCACAGTCTTTGTATCATGGAGCACCCAATTCGGTGGAATCAGTCTCATTCTCCCAGTTTTCTCAAAGATGATCAAAATTCTATTATTGTCTTAATATAATTTTCAAGGATGACACAATTCACCCAGCCCTGGCCTTTCAGCTCATTTGAAGAAACTAATGTTCTCTCACTAATTTTTTGGCTGTTTGTACATCTGCTGGGTGTCGGGCAGGATCAGAGCAGTTCTGCACTCTCGGCATCTGGTTAACAGTTCTCTTGCTTCATTTGCAGCTTCCAGGGCTCCTCCAATCTTCTCAAACGTTTCACAGCCCTCCACACTCCTCTGTGCCTCCAAGAACAGCCTTTTGTTCGCTGACAAGAGGAATCTGCAGCCTCATCAGCTCTAAACCAACCTCCCACTATCCTCTGGGCAAAGTCCTCCCCAAAAGGGAAAAAAAAAGAAGGGGAATGGAGAAGGCCTGGAGGGGAGGGGGTCTGGAGGTGGTTGTGCCAGATGGGGACAGGCAGGGTGGACAGAACACAGAGTTCAGAACAGGGCAATGGGCCCACAGGGGCAACACAACCTCCTGGGTGTGTGACCTTGGGACTATCTGGGCCCCATGACCTTATAGTGTGAAGGAGCTGGACTAGAGAATTCTGAGTCCTTTCCATCTCTGAACATCCCAAACCTAATTATTACCCTAAGCATCTATTATGTTGAAAAAACATGTACTGACATTTGTCTCTGGATAGTGAAATATTAAGTCTTTTTCTTCCTCTCTTCTGCATTACACAAATAGTTTATGCTAATTTTCCACTACTGATAATGTGTGTGTGTGCATATGTCCACAAAACCAAAATATCTATGATTCTAGAAAGAAAATGAAAAAGTTTCTTCTTTAAAAGAGGAAAATTGAATAAAATTTAAAGGCAGAGGCAGAAAAGAAAGAAAGGTCCATGTGGAGGCCAAAAATCCACCCAGCACAGAAGCCCTGCAGGGACCGCATTTGATTTGGGGTTTTCCACCTCCAGGGTGAAATGTCTTTGTAAACTCTTCTGGCATCATCTGCTGGTCATTCCAGAAGAAACCACTTAATATGGTTCAAAAAAAGGGCTTTGAAGTGAATTTGGGGGACCATTGATTGGGTCATATTCAGGGTGAAAATGGTATTCTATTTACAGGTAAATCTCATTTCACCTCCAGAAGTCACTTTTGATTTGGTGTTGCAGTAATGATTGTAACAGGAACACTTAAGTAAGTCCCTTCTATGTGTTCACCTGATAACCATGCACAACCCCTTGTACCACACAAGGCAGATCTTCCAAGTTTCCCCCCACTAGTCTTGGGCACCACTAGAGAGAGGCAGTCTGAGGAAACCCACACTCAATCCACCCTCTTTGAACAGTGTGGGTTTCATCTTCCTTGTCTCTGTCCCTTGGGTTTCTATAAATATTCAACTCATTGGCCTTTGGAATATTTCATTGGTTTAACCATTCCTAGCAACCCAAAGTTCTGGCAAGTGCTCTCTCATTTGTCTTCCATCCAACATTAGCCCTGCTTTCCAAGGAAGCTACTCTGAAGAAGCTCCCTCATTCCCTGTAGGTTCAGGCTGTGGGCGTGAGGTTCAATGGATTTCTCTCCCACTTCCCAAACTGATCCTTCCCACAGAGGCTGCCTAGCAAAGGCCCCTTGGCTTCTGAAACTGATTTTTAGGTGAAGGACAGTATGCATAACCAACAAGGCTTGTTTAAAGCACCTTCTTATAGACTCACAGACTTAGAAACTTATGGTTGCTGGGGGGAAGGGACAGTTAGGGACTTTGGGAAGGTCATGTCACACTGTTATATTTAAAATAGATAAGCAACAAAGGCCTATTGTATAGCACATGGAACTCTGCTCAAAGTTACAGAACATATGTTAATAACATAATGAATACCCCAATATAAAATGTTTTTGGTGTTAAAAAATAAAATAAATAAAATTAAAATTAAATAAATAAAATACCTTCTTATAAATATTGAAGGAAAAGCATTTTCCTTCTAACATTTTTTCTTTTCAATCTAAAAGTCACCTCTCCAAATATCAGTCTTAAAATAGCCCTAACCAGACTCCTTGAACAGATACAGCCACTTATCTGTACAGCTGTGACATTTTGACAGATATCAAAATATCAAAATATTTGATCTTCATCCCCAGTTCCTGGCACAGAGCTTCTAAAACCCTGTAACTTCCTGAGTGATAGGGGTGAGAGGAACATCTTTCATTATAATATTTGGTTTGCCACCAGATTCTGGCATGGGTTTCAAAGAGCTTCCAGGTTGGTGAATTCACATTCAGGAAGAATGATATACCCCACACTCCACAGGAACTCTTGTGCTTGGAAACCTTCCAGACATGCCCTGTGTACCTCTTCATCTCGCTGTTCATTTATATCCTCCTTAACCAAACAGAAATAGTAAGTTTAAAGTATTTTTAATAAATAAATAAAAGGTACCTCTCAAGTCTTTCTGGACTTCACCAAGTTCTTCACCTGGTGTTTATTGGTGTTTATTAGTAAAGAATAATGAAAGGGTCCATCCGTCTCAAGGCAAAGAAGTACTTGGGAACCCCTGATTGGTCCTGCCAGGAGGGAAGGGCTCCCATATTTGGTAAGCAGCAGGAATGCACCTCCCCCTTCAGCTCCTACATAGCTAGGCAGGTCCAAGAGTATGTGCAGAAGGTGCACAAGAGGACAGTGTGCCCGTGGCTCCAGAGGTGCATCAGAGAGATCCTAAGGTATGTGGGGAGCAGAGTTTATGTGTGATAACCATTTCTGTGGCCAGGGCTGTTCATTTTTAATAGCACTACACACCATGCAGTGATTTCTTGGCTCTCACCTCCTGGAATGAGTCCCAAGTCTGGGGACACTTGAGAGAAGATTGCACTGGGGTTCCTGTCTATGTTTTGGTGCTATAATAAAATGCTAGCTTAAGGGTTGGCTGGCTAGGATTTTCTTTTGTTTTTAAGCCCTTGCCTCTGAAGACTAATTTATTTCTCAAGGTCTCTATGCTTTTATTTTTTAATTTGATGCACGCATAATTTATGCTATTATTCTTATTTAAGTCTTCTCCTACCAAGGGGTATGGGCTGATGAAATAGGTTTAGAAGATTAATGAATGTTTTCTTCACACTTGGATCTCTTTGGAGAAAGCTTGTCTGAGATCATTGTGATTAGTGGGCAATGATGAGTGGGATGCTGGAAGGCTGGGTGCTCAGACTGCTGTCTGGCACACTCATGCCCACCCTGGGACAGTGACTAGGTGATGTCTGCATGTAAAGAGAGGTCAGCAGAGGCCTCTTTACAGAAGTTGAGAGAAGCCTGGATGTGCATACAGTTAGGTTGCATTTTGCCTATTTTTCTGCATAAGAATCTGTGTCACACTAGAGTTGAACATTTTGAACAAAGAAGTACTAATCATTTTAAGGAATACTGCAGGGAGGGTATATTAGGGCCTAAGCAAGATAAACTTTTCAACCTCCTTCAGCTCTGGCACTGGTGAACTCAGGAAATCTTCTAGAAGATGGTCTAAGCAGGCTCTGCCATTGTAACTCTCTGTGTATTCCTGATCCACATGGACAAAGGTCCAGGTGCTGAATGCCCTGAATATTTGACCCAAAGAGAGGGAGTTCCACAATAGCTATTGTAGTTTCAGGAACCAGTTGTGACTAACTACCAGACTGGGGGCTTTAAGGGGGAGGGATATTTCCTGAGGTCATCGGCAGTCTTTCAGATATCCTGGGGCCAGCCTGGCTCTTGGTGCTTCCCCAAGCCCTCTTATTTCATTTCCTCTGAAATTCTTCACAAGCTCTGCTGTTCACTTAACTGAGGGGCCATCAGAGCTGCTATTCACTTAACCTCACACCCGGTGAATCAAAAGCACCATCCCCTTCAGCAGCTCAAAAGGGTAATGGGACATGGCCCTTGGGTTCCTGGGAAAAGCATCACAGAGCTGGATTCAAATCTGCCCCCCATTCCCTGCTGTTGTGTGGCATCAGGCAAATTACTTAACTTCTGAAACCCAATACAACTTTTATAAAGTGAGGATAATAACATACCTTCCCCATGTGAGAATTAAGTTAGGCAATGTAAGCAGCTGGTGTGGTACATGCAATAAGAAGCTGGTTGAGGGAGGAGGGTGGGACCCCACTCTCCCCAGGATGTGATTAGAAAAGATATCCATGAATAATCAAATTGCCTCTTGCAACTTCTGAACTGTCTGATAAAACCAAGATCACCATCTTGAATGGTGTAATTCCAGGCCAGAGCAAGAAACTTGGTTTTGACTTAACCCTATGCAGACCAAGCCTGGGAAAACAGTTATGTTTCAGGAAAAATGTAAAGGGTACAAGAATGACATTCCTGTTAAAGAATCTCCTACACACAGGAGGGGACATGGGAGACTCAGAACTCCAACTGAGGAAGTTAACTGCTCCAACCTTTTCTGTTGCAGATTCTGACACAATGAGGAAACATCTAGGTGGATATTGGTTGGCCATTGTCTGTGTCCTGCTCTTTAGCCAGCTCTCCTCAGTCAAGGCAAGAGGCATAAAGCACAGAATCAAGTGGAACCGGAAGGCCTTACCAAGTACCTCCCAGGTCACCGAGGCCCACACTGCAGAAATCCGCCCAGGGGCGTTCATCAAGCAAGGCCGGAAGCTGGATATCAACTTTGGAGTGGAGGGCAACAGGTACTATGAGGCCAACTATTGGCAGTTTCCTGATGGCATCCATTACAACGGCTGCTCCGAGGCCAACGTCACCAAGGAAAAGTTTGTCACCAGCTGCATTAATGCCACCCAGGCGGCAAATCAAGAGGAACTGTCCCGTGAGAAACAAGACAACAAGCTTTACCAGCGGGTCCTGTGGCAGCTGATCAGGGAGCTCTGCTCCATCAAGCACTGTGACTTTTGGTTGGAAAGGGGAGCAGGACTTCGTGTCACTCTGGACCAGCCCATGATGCTCTGCTTGCTGGTTTTCATTTGGTTTATTGTGAAATAAGCTTGCAGGCAGGTTGACAGCCACAGAGATCAATAGGCAAGCAAACCATAAGCAAGTTATTCCAGTTCTTCTCCTCTAATCCCAAACCTCAGGTGTTCTGAAGGTACCAAAGAGCAGTGATTGTTTCTTCAGTGCTTTAAATAGTACGCCCAAGTATTCACTCAGGTGCTTGATTATATTTGTTAAATGTATGAGTATCAATCCTCTCCAGGCTCTACCTAAAGTTGGCTTGTTCATCATTGCATTCTCAACTCTGGTGTAGCATCTGGCCCACCATATTATGCAATAAATGTTTGGTAAGCAGATAAAAGAATGTGCCAGGGACCATACCGAGCACTTCATAATGCTTCCCAACAACTCTCAGAGGTAGGTGTAATAGGTATTATTCTCTTGGTATAGATAAGAAAATTGAGGCTCCAAGAAGTAAAATAGTGAAGTAGTCAGAAAGTGTTGGCCATAATCCAACCCTGGCTTATCTAACCCAGATTTCCTGCTCTGTACAGTTCTACTTTTGGAAATACGAAATGACTGATGCTGATGGCCACGTTTTTGAAAACTTATTACATTTAAGTTAATTAATTAGTTTAATTAAAGTAATATATAATAAAGGAATTAAACTAAAATAGAAATAAAATCTAGACAAATGTCCATATTGCCTAGTAAGGAAGTATTACCAACTTCATTCCTGGAGTAATCTAGATCTATGGCACAAAGATGTTTTTTCACAAGAAGTATAAGTGTTTGCTACTTGCATCTCTGAAGTAGTTAATGTATTTAAGAAACTATTTCTAAATGATAAATTTCCTTTCTAATGTTCCTCCAATCCTGTGTGCATGTTTCTAGGTATACATGCATACAAGCATCTTTAAATATATTCCCTTTATACAGGTGCTTCATACAATCTCTGGTCATTCTTTTACTGCCACTTTGGTGAGGGGCCATCATTTCCATGAACCACTTACAGCTTCAAAAACACAATTCCTCAGTACAAAGGTTAAAAATAAATTATATCTTTAAGAAGATCAAGTAATGAATTCATATATGCCATAATTAAGAATTATCATTAGTTAAACTACATTTATATTACAGTTTAAATAAAAATAATGAATCTAATACTCTAAAAGATGCCCCCAGAGGCTCTCTGAGGATATGCTCAGAGTACACACCCCCCACCCTCAGGAGTTGTTGAACCATATTTGGTGATAAAAGTTGCTGAATATTATCAGTTGTCTGTATGGGTGAAAAAATGTGCATTGTCAGACAATTTTATCCAAAGTATTTTAAAATGTGAGTGTTGATAATGGTACCTCTTGTTCTGAACCTCCACTGCTAATCAGTGTTCTTCTCAAGGATACAGTTGGAAGGTTTTTACATAGAAAGCCAGTGGAGGACTTGGGGGCCAGACAGCCCGGGGGAGCACCTTCCCCTGGGTGTGAGGGATACTGCCACCCTGCCCTGACAGCGCAGGGAGCTCCTGCGCAAGCATTCCTGAGGAACTCCTCGGTGGCTTTCATGCTGTTGGCACTATGCTCGTCTTCCGCGGTCCTGGTGAGTTCTAGATCAGAAACTAAGACTAAAGTTCAGAACACATACAGGTTATTTCCTACAAGTCAATATTTTAATAATAACAATAGCAATAGTGACAAAGTACTTACAGGATGATGTTGAAATTTCAAGTCCCAGCTCTCCTGAGTTTAATTATAAGGGCACACACAGCCTTGTAAGTAAAATGACTTCATTTCTTATGTGATAACACTCAGCCATGATGTAGTACATTTTCTATTATTCCTGTCTTTCCTCATTTCATTAATAGTTCCAGAAACCAGATTTCAGTGGGTGTGGAGTGAATTGGTATATAGTGATTTAAATGCCAAATCTACTATTGGAACTTAAAATTGATTCCATATGTATTTGAACATCCTTGCTCATATTTATGAATTTTGAGATCCAGTCAAGGCTTTGTGAGTCTAGTTTTTCAGTTTAGCAAAGGTTGGTCAAGTGCCTACTATGTGTAAGACATTGTGAAAGATTTCTGAATTATTCTTGATGGAGTCATTTTAAAAGTGAATAATTTCACCAACCATTGATTTCTTGTCCCTTCTAAGCATTCATTTTTAAGATATGTTTATTGTAAAAATGACACTAAAATTACAACAGAAATCCAAAACCAAACATTGCCCACAGTTTTAGCATCTGATTGTCAGTGTTCTCATTTTGCCCTATAGCCTCCTAGTCCTTACTATTTGCATATACAAATGTACATATTTGCAATAATAATTTAAGCGACCATTTATATTCTAAATTTTTGCTTAACTTTGTTCTATGCTTTTTTCATTTTTCTATGATTTGGGGGTTCTTGCCTCCCACTGCCTTCCCCAACCCACTCTCCTTCCTGCCTAAGATGTAGCCTCCATGCTTTCATTGTGCTGAGATAGAGAGTTTTCTGTTTGATTGCTTTTTAAAAATACTGTAATCATACAACTCACATTTATTCTTCTGCAATTTGTCTCACTGTGTTATCACTTTCTCCCTAGTTCAACAGCCACCTAGTTAGTTAACTTGTCCTTTAGGATGTGGCATGATATTCTGTACCATGGACTAGACCCTGATTGATTTAATCATTTCTTTATTGATGGACCTTCAGGTTGTTTCCAGTTTTTTTGCCACTGCAAACAATAAACATCAATGTACACACAACTTTGCAATCTGTTACTTTTATTTCTGTGGAGTAGATTTATACATGCAACATTTCCAGAACAAAGCTATGTGTAATTTAAATTTTTCTAGACATGACTAGATTATGTTCCTAAATAGCTGGAGCAATTTTCATTCTACCCCCTGCAGTATACTGTGCTAACTTTAAGAGTCTCTAAGTCATTTAAGTTATAGCAACTGCCTTTTCTCCAAATGGTGCTTGAGCATCTTTTCTACTTGGCATACAATACACCTAAAGCTTTCCAACTAATTTCTGAGCATAAAGACTATTTGAAAATTGTAAAACTGTTAGCAGTTTCCATCTTACGCCTAGTCTGTGGCCCAAAACATCTGGAAAGCCGGAGTGTGTGAGGGCTTCTGCTCAGAGGGTGGTTTGTTTGCACAACTCCATACTCCCTAACTGGCAGAAGAAGCACAGTGTGATGTTTGGTCTTGGCCTTTTTATTGATCTTCAGTAAAATAGGAAATAAAAGTATCTGCATCCCAGCAAGAATGCTCTCCAGGTTGTAAAAATCAAAAGAAGTAGAAGTCAAGCACACAGTGTAAATAGCCCATGCTTCTCCTTTCCTCTGAGCTGTCTGGGCAGACGATCAGCATCTTCCTGGAGCCCTCACACCCCACCTGGCTTAGGATATGACTGGCAATGTTGAGAAAGCCCACCCTCTGGTCCTAACGAGGTATGTCCCAGGTAGGGGCCATGAGTTTGTCTTGATTGCCCCTACTCTCTACCTCAAGCTTTCTGATAACGAGTGACTCACTTTGGGAAGTGGACCCCTGGCCTTAACTTTGCACTTTCAGTTTGGTCAAATCTTTCATCTCTACCTTTTCTTCATGTGCTGTATATGGCTGGACAAGGATGCCCTAAGATATTAATACCCACATGTTGCTATGTGGCACACTCTGGAGTCTGCCAGGGTCTCAACTTGAAATGATGACAGTGGGGCCCACATGCCTATATGCAGGTAGTGATAACACATGGGCAGACTACATATGCCAGGTGAGTAGTCAAGAAAACTTACATAGATGCGGCATGATGACTTTTCCATTTCCCCAACTAAAAGCTCAGGTGCTGCTCAGTTGAAGAGCAGACCTCTGATAATCCTAGCTCAGGTCAGTGGCTACATGTTCACTTTTTCTGCCCGAAGGTCATACAGTCAGGCACAGCAGAGGGCTTGTCCTTATCTTATCCTCATTGCCCATAGAAGTCCCTGTTTCAATTGGGCACCCAGCCTCACAAGTAGAAGAGAAGGGAGCCAAACTCCTATGCTACTGGGAAAAACAGACACCTGCAAAATGTAAATAAGATGCTATATCTTTGACATCTCTTAGCCAATCCCATCAAAAACCTGCTCCAGAAAAACAGACTCAGCTGTTTCCCTTGGCAAATGGGAGCCTTCACCTGGACCCACAAGAGGCCTCAGACTGACCACCCTACTCCCAAAAGGATCTTCCTGGCAGCTGTATCCAAGCCAAAGCTGACCACCCAGGAGAAGGTTATCCTCCAATACCTAAGTGTCCCTGAATCCCCAAGATGCTTCCATCTGTGAATTTCTTATCTTCATTCATCCACTCAACCCCCACCCACCCCTCCCTGATCTTCCCTTGGAATTTCCACATCTTTTTGTAAGAAAGCATTGCCTTCTTAAACAATACAAATTGTTTTAACTCCAATAGGCTTGGCTTTAAATTGTACAGGGAAGTTGGCAGAAGGCCAGAAAGGAACTCGAGGAAGCTGGAAACAAATCAGGACCAGAGGACCTAACACAGCTGGTGTCCCTGAATAAATGGAGGTGTGAGGGCGAAAGATTTGGGGCGGGGGCAGGGGAACTGCTGTTAGCTAAAAATTGTCACTTGCCATCTGCTTCTACAAGGATTAACTCTCTAGCCACTGCAGTCGCTGACCTTCAACACACACTGAAAGGAGTTCAGGGCAGATATCAGGAATGAGGTAATCTATGCTCTGGGAGAAACTGGCAGAACAGGCCTTCAGATAGTTAGATATTTTCAGAAGATTTTATGAGCTCCAATTCTTCCATCTCCTCATATCTAGAAAAGCTCTAAAATCACTAAGGGTGACATCTGCTCCTCATGACTAGCAGCAAACTTCTGCCAAGACATGTGCTTGATGGCAGGCATTCACCAGTTCACATATATACCAACCTCCCCCACTATGTCTTTGGAGCAGTTCCTCAGAGCTCTCTGAGATGCTGTCCTCTGGGCTGTAGTCCTCATTTTACCCTAAATAAAACTTAACTCACAACTTTCATGTTATACATTTTTTTTTT